CGCACCCGTATGCCGCTTTGCCGGATGCGGTGCTTGCCTTCCAAGCAGAGCATGAGTGTCCCTTGCCCATGCCCGCGTTCCTCGCGGCCCTGCGCGGCGCCCGCCGCGGCTCTGCGGCCGGGCCGTCTGGCACCACCGCCGAGCACCTCCGCACCTTGCTTGATGATGAAGAGGACAGCCGGCTCCTCCACGCTGCTGCCCTCAGTCTCGTTAATGCGCGGGTTCCCCCTTGCGTCCTCGCAGGCATACGAGTCGGACGCCTTGTTGCGCTGCGCAAGCCTAAGGTTCCTGTGTTTACTCAGGGTTGTTTCGGACTTACTCTTCCCGCGGCCCCGCTTGGGTTCAAGCATACACCACGCAACAGCAGCTTGCTTTCAAAAACTTTCAGCTTTAGCTGTTCACTTTCCAGCTTTGCTTCATGCTTAGGCTTTTAGCTGTCAGGACTACTTTTCAGCAGCTTTAACCTAAGCGAGTTCAGCCAGCCTCGTGCATGGACAACCTGCCGGCCGCTTTCCGCCCTCAGCTGCAGCTCCAACTGACCGGAGAGGTCAGATCACTGATCGATAGGCTCGTCGACTTGGAGGCTGAGGGGGCCGCACAACGAGCGGAAATCTCCCGCTTGCACTGCAGGGTCAGCCGGCTTGAAGCTCAGGTACATCAAGGTCACAACTGGCTTTTGCACTTAGCAGACAGGGCCACCTCATTGGAAGAGGTTACACAGAAGCTTTCTATCAGGCTGCGGGCCTTGGTCAGCTTGCTCCGCGAAACGCTTTCTGAGACTGTTGCCCGTCTTCGGATCTGGTTCTAGGTATGGCTGCCTCTGGCTCGGGCGGTGGTGATGCACCAGCTTTGCCTTCTAGCAGGGTGGCTACGGACATACTCTTGGCTGACTCATCGCCTTTATGCACGGATGCTGACGCTTTGGAACTTAGGGAATCTTTTCGCAACCACTTTGCTGACTTTGCGGACCCTGAGTACCCTAATCAAGTGCCCTCAGCTTCGGCGCCCACTTTTGAGGTTGCCGATTCAGATGCAGAGGAAGCCTTTGAACCCAGGAGCAAGCTTCGACGCCGCTGGCATCACCAAGCACATTGTGCCCCGGTGACTCCTCCCCTACCTATGGAAACCAGCCCAGGTGCATCCAGCGGTGATCACTCTTGGCAGCTTATAGAGCAGCACCAGCCGGAGGCCGAGACGCCTCCCTTTGAGGGGCTCACTTCAGGCTATTCGACCTTTCAGTTTTTGCCGCTGCGATCAACCCCTCCTCGACCCAGCTTGTCAGCTACGTCGAGGGCACCCACTTGGCGGGCTCCAAGGGTGTGCTTAAGGTACAACTCCCCTTTTCAGGTGGGGCACACCGGGCGTCAGCCTACAGTGGCTCGGCTCCGCCCACGGTTCCTTTTTTCAGCCCCGCTTCAGGCCCCCAGCATTGTACCTGTTCAGCAGTCCACACCGCAAAACTTCCAGACGGCGAAGGCACTGCCGCACTTTCAGGACGCGTCGGCTTATGCAGCATATCCTACGCTTCAGCAGACTCCTGTTCAGGGGAACTGCACCCCCCGGCGTTGCGAGCTCCGACAGCTGGCATGATGACGAGCAAGGAAAATCATCAGGCATGCGATGAGCGGAACAAGGCTCTTTTCGACCAGCTTTGCAAATCGCATGGGGCCTACCTACAGCTCGGTGCTGCAGCAGCTTGAAAGTAGCCGCGAGGGAGCCGTGATTCGGTCCCGCTTGCTGAACAAGGTTAGCGACACCACAGCCGCCCGCTACCTTCGATCTGTTCAGCTTTTCTTTTGTGCCTTTGAGGAGCTGGGCGGCAGCATGGAGGCCATAGATCAGGGTTTGTTCCTCGATGCTTTCTTCGCTTTGTCTCGAGGTGCTGATTCAGGCCCCCTTTCAAATAGCATCAACGTCCTCAAGGCGCTCCGGTGGTATAAGAAACTTCTGGCAATCGCTTGTATGCCCGACTTGTATGGCACCGCTTTCAGCCTGCTCTCCAACCCGGCCGGGCAGGAGAAACGCGAGAGTATACCTCTCCCTTTGTCGTTCGTCGCCTTTCTTGAACGCATGCTCCTGTCTGGCAAGGCAAGCTTGATGGACATGATCTGGGCAGGCTCCTTCCTTGTGGCTATTGGTGCTAGCCTCCGCTTTGCAGATGCACAACACATTCGCTGGAGCACGCTCTGCGTTAGCAGCTTCACTTTGCGAGGAATCTGCTACAGGACAAAGACCACTAAAGGGGGATGCCCATGGGGCCTCCTCAGCTTTGGAGTCTTCTCGTCCTCCGAGGAATGGGGCATGACATGGCTTCCCCACTGGCTTGGGGCACTGGACACAGTATGGTGCGAGGTTCGCTCCCGCTTTGGGCCCCAGCCGGAACCCGACTGTCTGTTTTTCCTTTGGAGCGATACCGGCTTTGCACCCGCATCCTACTCCCAAGCCCTGCAGAAGCTTCGCTACATGCTTACACTCTCTGGTATAGCACCGGCTCAGGCAGCACAATATACGCTTCACAGCCTCAAGACCACCTTTCTGTCTTGGATGAGTCAGCTGTCTATCCCACTCTCTTCCCGCTTCCTGCAGGGGCACCACAAGGCTCCAGGGTCAGCTCAACTTTACTCGCGGGACGACGTGTGGCCAGCTTTGCGTGCACAGTGGCTGCTTTGGCGTTCAATACATGCCGGCTTTCGTCCAGCGAGACCACAGCACAGAGGCGGCCAGTCCCCGCTTGTTGAGCCACTTGTGGACACTGCAGGTTTCCAATGGGTGGAGCACTGCCCGGACCTCTCCTGCTTTTCCGTTGGCAACGACTGTCAGTCCTTCTTAGCCCTGGAGCAGCAGGATGGCGACCTCCGTGACGCCCGGGAACGCGTCTCTTTAGTTTCCGGAGCCAAGCTTCCACCATGTGTTCGCGCCCGTGCCCAGGTCGACCACTTCGAGGACTCCGACGCGGACGAATCAGGCCCGGCTCGTGCCGCTTCCAGCGCTCCCCGCGATCCGGAGGTCGATCCCACATGGCAAGCTGAGTCCGGTGAGGCACCCAGCCTTTCACCCAACCCGCAGCCGCTTGCTGCCCCGCCCGCTGAGGGTCTCCGCTCTAGCTGTATAGAGGTACGATACCTCTTGGGAGCCTCTGGGGTGGCACACTCTTGCATCTCCCACCCCGGCTCCCGTATGACGTGCTTGGCATGCAGGGACCCTTCCTGTTCAGTACGATGCCACCCCGCTTGTGGTTGCATCTCGGAATTTTCACCTTTTGTCCATTTTCCGCCCGACTCCCGCTTATGCAAGCGGCGGGCTTGTATCATGGCCTCCCTTGACGCAGCTTGAGTGCGGCCAGCCGTTAAAACATTCGACGTGGGCGCACTGCATTTGAATTGCATCAGCTTAGAAATGCTGCTAACTTCCTGAACTGAGTGCTACAGCTTTATGTTCATCGCTTTCTTAGCTCGAGATGCGCTTTAAGCCCACTTTCTTGCCTCCTTGGGTCATGGCGAAACTTTCCCCTGAGTACGCCTTTACACTCCTCAAGACCATGACTGACGAGGAGAAAACCCGCTTCCTCAAGCAGCTGGAGAACGATCCGCTTCTCCCCGCATCCACTACGAGCTCATCTTCGGTGGAGGCACCCGCTGTGCAACCAGTCGCAGCACTTATGGCAGACCCCATAGGGGAAAACATCGCCGCCGAGGATTACAGCTTACCTTCAGTGGAGCCGGCTGCTTCACCGTCACCTCCGGCCAAAGCGGCACCCGCTTCTGTCACAGCGGACGAGCCCAAGGCCACCCACGACGACGGTGCACCCGCTCAGGACCCCTGCAGATGGCGACGGGGGCAACACCGCCACTGGTGGCGGAGGCGATGGTGTTGCCAACGCAAAACGTTGGCAACGGGAACCCGAGGTGAAAGAACCGCCGCCACGGCCGCCCTCTTCACCAAAGGCGAGTCCTTCAACACCGGCTCCGACTGGCCCTCCGCTTAAGGCCAAGAGTGTGGCCTCACCTCCGAAGCCCGCTTCGGCTTCAGGTGCACCGGCCGCACCGACTCCCAGCGCCCCTCCTGCGGCCAAGGAGAAAGCTCCTCCACCTCCGCTTGCAGAAACTGGGGCCACCGACGGCAATGCGGGCACTGCAAGAGAGGCAACGCCCGCTTCTACTACGCCAACGCCCGCTTCGGCTACGGCTACGGCTACTCCGTCGGGCAACAGGGCCCCACTTCTGGCGAGCGAGGCCCCGGCGAGCCGCTTGGGGCACACCATCTACGACGGTGAGGGGAACCCCACACTTCAATTAGTCCAGCTTTGGGCATGCCGTAAGCAGTGCTCCCAATGCTCGCTTGGTCACTGCCAGGCTACCTTCAGCGACCGCTCCATGCAACAGCTACCACACCACCCACTTATGCAGAGACTGTAAGCGGGCCCGTGGTAGAGAGCGTCAAGAAGCCGCTTCTCAATGGAGCCAGGGCTATGAAGAGTGGGGCCAGAACCAGTCCGGCTGGGATGATCAACCCGCTTGGGGATCCTGGAACTGGAGTGGCCGCAACTGGCAGCACCAATGATGCTTTTGCCCCCGCTCCATGCTTATGCCGGCTTTGGCATTGAATCGCCCACTTTTGGGCTTGCCCATATAGATCAAGGGCAGCCCCGCTTGGGCTTGTGGGCATAAAGCACCCGGCTTCTCCGAAGCCAGACATACTCGAGCTCCGCTTCCCGCTTGAAAAAGCCACCAGACCCACGCCCCGCACGCTTTGGAACAGTTCACGCTCTGAACTTGTGGCTTGTTGTTCACTCTTGTTTCCCGCTTGGATCAAGAAAGACTTCCGGGCCCCCCCCGGCTCTGGGTATCCCGCGCTCCCACGTTACAGGCCACAGATGCCCACTTGTCATCACTAGCAACATGCTTCCCTGCTGCAGGACCACTTCGGGCAACGCTGCATCCTCAGTTTCAGTTCTTTGCCTCCTTTTGGCAGTATGTGCACCTGCTTCAGGTCAAGCGAAGATGGCTGACTTCACGCAACTAGTGGCCGACTGCAATGTGCCAGCAGCTGTCGCCCCTTTGCTTTCAGCATTCGACGTTGCTTTGTTTGCCCGGTCCTGCACCACTTCGGCAGAGCTTGAAGAGTTGGTGAACCACTTTCTGGCGGAAGCCTCAGTTACTGATGCAGCTGAGCGCTTTATCACCAAAGCTTCGCTTCGCTTGCTCTTTTGCAAATGCCGAACTTCAGAGGGCATGGCATCCTTGGAAGCCGCTCCCACTCCCACCACACCGCTTGGGGATGGGCCTCCCGCTGCTACCCCGGCTCCCCCGGCCACGCCTCCGCTTTCCAGCTCCTGGCAAGAGGCTTGGCCTGCGAAGCTGAGTGGGGAGCGAACCGCGGCGCTTAGGAAGAGGTTCGAGGAGGACTACCCCACTGAACTTCTTGACGCCGAGAGCTTTCCAAGCGCCCGCTTATTGGCCCTCACCAATAAGATGCTTTCAGACAAGGAGGTGCGATGGATTCCTTGGAAGTACCGCTTAAGCGCTCGTGCTCAAGAAGACAGTCTCCTCGTTCGGCCCAGGAAACAGGCCCGCTTTGACCTAACAGAGCTCTTTCTGGACGAGGCGCCTACACGTGACATACATGAAGGCCCCGCTTCCTTTGGCCTCGTCACTCAGCTTCTGTCACTGGCTGCCAATGCCATTGCGCTCTGTCAAGGTGCACATCTTGGTTCTCTGAAGCTTTATAATAAACGCTTCATGAGGATCTGCTTCACGAAGTACGATGCCGCCGCCAGCTTACGAGGTCCCACTACCATGGAAGCCCAGGCCGCCGACCGCCGCTGTTGGGAAATCATCGCCGACTTAGTCAATGTGCACCACTGGAAGTTGGACGATGCGCTTCACGAAGTGGCCGAGGTGCGCTCTGACATGCACAGCCTGCTTGCACCGAGGCCCTTTATTCCCAAACCGAAGTTCGACCCGGACAACAGCTGGAAGGCCCGCTTCACAGGCAACGGTCGAGGCGGCAAAGGCGGTGGCCGCGGCGGCAAAGGCCGTGACGGCAAGGGCGAGAAGGGAGAGCGCTTTGAGAGAGGGGGCAAAGGTGGCAAGGGCAAGGACAACAAGCAAGCCTCCCCCCCCGGCAAGTGGCTTTCCACCCTCTTCATGGATGGCAAACGTCAGACGCTTTGCATGAGTTACCAGAGCGGGCAGTGCAAGGACCCGGCCACATGCCGCTACTTGCACAGATGCGCAGTGCCTAAGAGTGACGGCACAGCTTGCGGAGGCAATCACCCAGCTTCGCAACATGTTGCCACCCCGCATTAGGAAACCCACTTCAGCGAGCTGCGGGACATCGCTGAGGAGGTCACGACCGTCCCGCTTAGTGTGCCGGCACAACCGTCAGGCTCAGCAGGGGCCACTTCGGCACTGCCCAAGGCACGTGCCCTAGTCTCCGATGCAGCATCGGCACTCAGTGAAGGCTCTCTCGATTTCGCTACTTGCTTGGAGCTTCTAGCGCAGTACTTTTCCATTCCCTTCGCTTCTTCTTCTCTCTGCCCCGACAATGCCATTGCAGCCTCTGAAGCATATTTCAATTTGGGGGCTTTCGCTTTTGACAATGGCGCCAGGTCGGGCATCTTTCAGCGTACCGAGCAATTTTCAGACGTTCTTCGATTCTTGAACGCTTTTATGCAGCTTCAGTTCCCTGAAGCCTCCTGGAGCTCCCTCTGCGTCAGCCACAACGTTCGCACCCGCTTACACACAGATTCTGGCAACGCTGCAGGGTCTCTGAATCACACAGTTTCACTTGGCAACTTCAGCGGTGGCGAGGTTTGGCTTTGCCCCGCTTTGAACCAGGCGGCTTCTCAGGTACCAGCCCCCTTGGATGCCTCATCCGAGGCGCACAGTGCATCTGAAGCGGGTACAGGCGAGGTGCGCGACACATGGCACGCGCCGCTCTCCTTTAGCTGTGAAGCACTTCACTGTACGCTTCCGATACAAGGAGACCGGTGGGTATTGACTGCCTACACTTGCAAGAGCCTAGACCGCTTTGATGCAACGTCACTGGCACACCTGAGGTCTCTGGGCTTCCCGCTCCCGCCGGCAACCCCATGCCACCCGCAGTCAATACATCCCCCGCTCAAGGACACGACATGCGTGGAGCTCTTCCTGGATATATGCTGTGGGGCCGCTCACCCACTTACCACGGCGATGTCTTCATACGGAATCACTTGTCTGCCCATAGATCTACTGGGCGAGGAGCAACTCGACCTGCTCAACGACGACACCTACGACCACTTGCTTCGGCTGTGCTTTGCTGGGATCGTCCGCTTAGCTCACGGATCGCCACCCTGCAAGGACTACTCCCGCTTGAAGCTTCGTCCAGGTGGACCTCCAGCCATTCGATCGCCGGATCACATGAATGGTCTGCCAGGGAACACCGCTTCTCAGCAAGCTAGAGTACACAGCAGCCAGAAGCTTCTATATCGTTGCATATGCCTTCTGAGAGCAGCTTTTTGTTCAGGCGCACATGTATCCCTGGAACAACCCACTAACGCCATGTCCTGGCTTGAGCCTTTTGTTCAGGACATGCTTTCCGAAATACAGGCCTCACTGGTCAATATCCCGGCATGTTCAGTGGGACAAGCTATAGCAAAATCGTGGCTCTTTGCTTGCAGTTACAGCGAATTCCGCTTTCTGGCAAGCACATGTTCGCATGCAGGAGGCCACCAGTCCGTCGCAGGAACCAGGGACGAACACGGGACCTTTTTGTCCCAGAGGACGGCGGAGTACCCGTCCCAGCTTGCCGAGAAATTCTCAGCGCAGGCAGTGCACTTGTTTTCTTCGGCAAGACCTGCTTATTCGGTTGCGCCCTGTTCCTTGAAGTTCGCACTGGCCTCAGTTCCCAAAAAGCCGCGTTCATCAACGCCTACAGCAGCGCAGGATGGCGGGGGCATCTACTCTTTGCCCGACTGGTCCCTTGGCCCAAGGTACCAGTCCGACAGCTTACACGACCTGCGGAAGGAATGGCAATCTTGGCTGCTTCAGAACAGAATTCCTCTCAGACTCCAGCAACACGTTGCCGAAGCCAGCAATAAACCGCTTTTCTCAAAGGAAGAAACGGAGTGGCTTCGCTCTTCTTTCAAGCGCTTTTCGGACGCTCACTCCCCGTGCCAGGACTGGAACTTCTCAGTGACAGAAGGCCAGCCATACTGCTTGTCTGCACTGGAGCGCTTGAGTACTATGCTGGGTGACAAGGACACTTCCCTTTTCCCCGCTTTGCAGAAGGGCGTGCCTACGGGGTTCGACGGCGACATCCCTCGCAGCCACACACTCCGACCTCGTGATCCCAACAACTCAGACGAACCCACTGACCTGCTTGTTTGCGAAGGTAACTGGCAGGGGGCTGAGGCAGACCCGGCACTGCTTCAGGAGTTGATCGAGGAAGAGGTTTCGGCCGGCTACATAGAAGAAGTTCCCAGCTTAGAGGCTGCTTACGAAAGGTGGGGCAAGGATCGTGTTGCGGTGGGCCGTGTGAACATTGTCAAAGCCCCCGGACGCTCAGCCCGCTTGGTTATAGACAACAGCATCTGCAACACGAACCAGAACTGCCACGTGCCTGAACAGTTCTCCTTGCCCAGCCTCCAGGACATTCAGTCCGCTTACCCTCCGAGGGAGGACGAGGAGCCGGTTTCGGGTTTCAGCTTAGATGTGAAGGGAGCGCACAAAACTTCACTTGTGCGCGAGAAAGACAGAGGCCTGCTTGGACTAAGACAACAAGAACGCCTCTTTTTCTACCGTGTCTGTCCCTTCGGGGCCACTTTTTCTAGCCACTGGTTTGCCCGCTTAGGGGGCTTTTTCGTGCGCTGCCTTCACCTACTTATCTGGTTGTCACACGTCCTCATGCTGTACGTCGATGATTTGCTTCTCTGGCAAAATTCTCGTGCACTGCCGCTTAGCGCTTCTCTGGTCTTAGCATTCTGCGCCTGCTTCAACATACCGCTTAGTTGGCGGAAATTGCAGATGGGGCCGTCTATAACCTGGATAGGGTGGCAGATCGACTTCAAGGCTGGCTGTTACACTTTACCAGAGCTCAAACGCTTGAAGCTGCTTGTCCAGGTGGAGGAATGCCTTCGGCACCGACTTGTCAGCCGCAAACAGCTTGACAAACTGCTAGGTCTGCTTCAGTGGATTCTGCATGGTCTTCCTGCTTTACGCCCCTGGCTATGCACTCTGTATGATGACATGCATAGACCACTTGGTACCAATGTCAGCATCAGCCCAGTTGTTTGGCCAGGCATCCACTCTTACCTGGACGACAAGCTTCGCTTCACAGGTTGCCCCCCGGGCACGGGCATTTCACCTGGCTCAACGCTGCTTTCAGCTCGGCATAAGCCTCTGAAGAGTAAAGAAGACCTGGCTCTAGTCCCCGTAAGCACAAAGCGCATGTGGCTCCGAGTTACGGACCCCACTTCCTCCAAGCGGCGCTTATGTGAATCCAGCAGAGAAACCCTTGCCTTCTTTGCCCACTTGAGCTCCAGGGACTGGCGGCCCAGGCCACTTCGACCACCACCTACCAGTTCGGTGGAGTCGGCCGCAGATGCTTTCGGCAAGGGCAATGATTGTGGCGTGGGAGGTTGGCTCCTCCTCCCCAGCGGACGCCTGCTTTGGTTTGCTCACCGCTACACAGTCAAAGACTTCCTGGACTTAGGCCTACCCATGCAAGCAGATGCCAACCTCGACATCTCCAGCTACGAGACATTGGCACAGTGCTTTGTGCTTTTGGCTTTTTGGAAAGCCCATGGTTCCGGTCGCTTGGCTTTGACATTACCAGCTTTGATGAGCGATAATAGTGGTGCGGAGTCTGTGTGTAATAAGCTTTACACCTCTAAAGTACCACTTAACCTTTTCGTTCGCAAGCTTTCAATGTGGAGCTCGATTACCGGTGTCACTTTTGGACTGCAGCCATATAGCTGGCGAGAAGAACGATGACGCAGACCTGCTTTCTCGGTGGGATGGCTCCGCGGAACTCCCTGCCAAGTTTCTGGCTTCGAACCGCATCGAGCTCTCACTTTCTGAGTTCTGGCAGATCCACTTTCAAGTGACGCTTTTTCCCGCTGACACATTTTTGAAATGGCAGCTTCCGTCAGCTGACAGCTTGGGCCCGACAAACCGCGGTTCAAGGAAGCGCAAGTAGCTTCCTCACCTCACTTTTCTGCTTGGCCTTTTCACTACGTTTGCGAGGTTTCGGCTTGCCAGTTTCAGACCCGGGCTTTTGCGACTGCTCCGCTGCTTCAGCTTTTGCTTTGCGATCTCGGACGGATCAAAGATCCGATCGGGATAGCCGACGTCTGAGCAGTCGCTTTACCGGCAAGCCGAAAAAAGGACAGTGTGCATACCTTCTTGCATGCTCCAGCTTTTACCTGCTTTGCTTCGCACAGCATTCCTCGCAGTAGCCTTTTGGTGTTGCGTGGTGTAGTAATGTCCTGAACGGTTCCTGTGTTTACTCAGGGTTGTTTCGGACTTACTCTTCCCGCGGCCCCGCTTGGGTTCAAGCATACACCACGCAACAGCAGCTTGCTTTCAAAAACTTTCCCACCCGCCCACACCTTTGGGCACGCTTTCAGCGCAGGGAGCTTTTCAGTCACAGCCCGCTAGACAGTCTTGTATCGCTTTCCGCTGTTGTTGCTCTAACTACTTCTCAGCTTTGTCACTACTTATCAGCTTTGTTGCTCTTTTGCTTACACGCTTACATGACGATACGGGCTTTTGCGACTGCTCCGCTGCTTCACCTCGCAGTAGCCTTTTGGTGTTGCGTGGTGTAGTAATGTCCTGAACTGGCCGCGTCCGTGCTTTGGTTGTCGGCGACGTCCTCCGCCGACTTGTCGGCAAGGTTCTCGCGCAACACTTCGCCGCACACCTGCAGGAGGCATGCTTGCCCTACCAGTTCGGCCTCAGCACCTGCGCTGGCACGGAGGCTGTCAGCCGGCTCCTGCGGGCTGCCACCGAGTCTTCACCGCGCGCCACGGTGCTGTCTGTCGATGCCGTGGGGGCTTTCGACCATGTGGCGAGGGGGTCCATGCTAGGCGCGCTCCTCGCGCGGCCGGCTCTCCAGCCTCTGCTCCCCTACGCGAGGCAGTTCTACGGGACTCCCAGCACCTACACGTGGCTCGACGACTCGGGGCAGGCCCATGAGGTTCGCCAGGGAGAGGGCGGTGAACAAGGCGATCCACTCATGCCGGCGCTATACTCCCTGGCGCAGCATGAAGCCCTCGCCCAACTGCAGACCCAGCTCGCGGACGGAGAAGCTGCGTTTGCTTTCCTCGATGATACCTATATCATCGCGCAGCCTGAACGTATACAGCCATTGTATGACGCTTTAGCGCGCGCACTCTGGGAGCACGCACGTGTCCGCTTGCATGAAGGCAAAACCCGCATCTGGAACGCCGCCGGGGAGGAGCCGCCCGGCATCGCCGCCCTTGGCTCTGACCCCGACGCGCCAGTCTGGGTTGGTGACTGGTCGCTGCCTCCTGAGCGCCAAGGGCTCACAGTCCTCGGTTCCCCGCTCGGGCATGATCGATTTGTCGCCTTGCAGCTGCAACGCAAGCGGGAGGAACACAACAAGCTGCTGCAGCGCCTCCCTCAACTCGAGGACTTGCAGGCCGCGTGGCTGTTACTGCACTCCTGCGCCTCCCCTCGCGCCAACTACTCGCTGCGAGTACTGCCCCCGCACCTCACCGCCTCCTTCGCCGAGGCACACGATGACGCAATCGCGCACTGCCTCGCCGACTTGCTTGAACGAGGGGACGCGCCGATCCCCGCTACCAGCCTCACGACAGCCCGGCTGCCTTTTCGACTCGGAGGCCTTGGGCTGCGGTCCGCTGTCGCTGACCGCCACACCGCGCATTGGGCATCGTGGTGCGACACTAACAAACATTTCGCTTAGGAGTGTGTTGCCCTGTAATCCTGTAGATGAGCTGTTTACCACATGATTTTGTATAGTATGGAACAAATGTTCCACTGTGGTGTTTAGGCTCAAGGGACGCACCCAAGACAGCCGTGCGCCCGAGGAAAAGTGAAGTGCGAATATCTGTGTGAAGTGAAAGGGTCCGGAACGTACCCGTAAAGCGTTTTATGGTAGCGGAGCTGAAGGCCAGGACCTTCGGCTGAAGAAGAGCCCAATACAAGGAGAAAAGAGCCTTGGGCCCCAGTGTCACGGAAAGTAAAAGAAAGGAAAGTTGAATGGCCACGCCAAGTCCAGCTGGAGACGCGGATTTGCCTGTGTCCCCTGGTCACGGTGGTCAAGGAGGAGATACACCAAGTGATACGCCAATGGCGATGCCTGCACCAGACGGAGTTGCAGGAGGATCCCTTCAGGCCCTGATAGGGAACCTGTCGGCAGCAGCGCAAGCTTTGGCGAGTGCTGCAGGTACAGGAAGTACCAGAAGTTACGACTCTGCAGCTAAGCTGGTGAAGAGTCCGGATGTGTTCGCTCCAAAGAATTTGGAGGAGGAAGTTTCACAGTGGCCAGATTGGAGTTTCAGTTTCAAAGTGTTTGTGGGCTTCATTGATCCCACTTATGCAGAAGAGTTGAAGAAAGTGGAGCTGGCACCACCAAATCCAGCAGATTATACAGTTGGTGAAAGAGAGAGAAGTACAAAGCTGTATGCGATTTTGGCCTCGTATCTTAGGAACAGGCCATTGAAGTTATTGAAGTCAGAAGGAAGTCCAGATGGATATTCTGTCTGGAGGAGACTGTTTGAAGAGTTGGAGCCGTCAAGCCGAACAAGAGGGCTGGCAATGGCTCAAGCTCTAGTGAGCTTTCCCCAGATGACGAAGGGGACTTCTATCTTAGACTATCTGCTTACCTACGAAAAACTGGTTGCGGAATACGAAAAACTGTCCGAAGGAAAACCCTACGATGAGAATCTGAAAATCGGAACAGTACTCAAAGGTTTGCCAAATGAGTTAAGGAAACATATCCTGATAGGATTGACCCCTACGACGAAGTACGCAGACATCAGGAAAAAGTTGCTGGAGTATGAAAGGAGTACCCAATCGTGGAATGCGGAGAACATTTTGCAGTCTTTCAACATGGAAAGCGCAACGAAGAGTACGCCCTATTCTGGGCCACAGCCAATGGATGTTGATCGAGTGAAAGGAAAAGGAAAAGACAAAGGAAAAGGAAAAGGTCACGACAACAAAGGAAAAGGAGGCAAAGGGTACAACAACAAAGGAAAAGGAAAAGGAAAAGGATACGACAACAAAGGGAAAGGAAAAGGAAAAGGATACGACAACAAAGGAAAAGGAAAAGGTGGTTATAGAAATGCACGAGCAGTGGACGCTGGTGGCTACGGGAAAGGAAAGTTCATAGGAGAGTGCCACATATGCGGAAAGACAGGACACAAAGCAGCTGATTGCTGGCAGAATCAAGGAAAAGGAAAAGGAGGTAAAGGCAAAGTGAGACAGGTAGAAGAGGAAGGAACCCATCAAGGAGATCACGAGAAGAGTTCCTCTAGCAATGCCCCTCCTGCGAAGAATGAGACTGGTCAAGTGAGGCAGATCACAGCTGAAGCAGCGCGCCAAGCAAGAAGAGTAGAGATGACACAAGAGTGGAACGATGAGGATGAAGAGCTCAACTTTGTGAGATTGTGTCAAGAGTTTGAAGGTTTGGTTCAAGGAGAGCTGAGAAGAGTTGAGGAGTTTGATATCTCTTCGAGCGATGAAGTGGAAGAGATTGAGGAGGAACCGACTGATGGTTTGATGGAGTGGTACCAAGGATGGTGGTTCTTGGAAACAGAAGTTGAAAGAAGTGTGAGAATGGTTTCTGAAGGAGATGATGTGAGGAGAACAGCAAGAGAAGTGGATGCATGTGAGGTAGTGCTCGACAGTGGAGCTGACTGCCATGTGTTGCCTATGGATTGGGCAGAAGAAGTCGGAGAAACTTCGAACTTTGAGTATCATCTGAAAGATGCGCAAGGGAAAGTGATCCCAACGTTGCCTGTGAGGCAGAATGTGACGTTTGTTTTCAAAAGGAGTCTGGAAAGAAGTTGAAGATCACTGACAGTGCTGTTTGCGGCAATGTCACCCAACCTTTGTTTGCGGTAGGAAAGATGTGGAAGCTAGGTTGGGGTACGGTGAATGAAGATGGAAGATTGTGGTTGAAGAAAGGAAGTGTTCGGATACCGATATACTTCAAAAGGAATTCCTCAATGGCGAGGATGTGTATACGGAGACTTGAAGGAGAAGAGATGACGGTGCAGCCTGTGAGGCTGGAGCGAGAACTGAAGAATGAGTTGAAGAGCAAAGAAGATGAAGATGGTTGGTTTGTGCTAAATGACGGCACGCCTGCAAGGTTTGATTGGTTTATGGGGAAGACGTTTGACCCAACGGGTCAGTTCCCTAACAGACTCTATGAGGGAGCAGGAGATGAAGGCGATTATTTTCCTTATAGGACAACCTTGCTAGGAAAGATGAAAAGAAGTGGAGAAAGAGTGTTGAATGAAGTGGACTGGAAGAGTATGGATTTCTTTGAGTGTACGGAGATCTGGAAGGATCGCGAAAGAGTGCAACTTGGGGCGAGTCCTCAAGCAAGGTTTGAGGTGATGGTCACCTTGTTGGAAAAGGGATTGAAGGAACCGAGTGACTATGGGTTGCTCACTAACTTGGAAGAGCTTGAAAGAGAACTGGCGCAAGAAGGAGTGCCAATGGAGGTCACAGGTACCTCCTCAGGTTCGAAAGACAAAAAGGAAAGTGAGAAAGAGGAACCGAAGAGAGGAGTTCCGGTGATCGGTGAAGATGAAGAAGAAGTGATGGTGATTGGACCGATAAAGTTGACGCGCCAGAGTGAGTTGAAGGAGATGAAAGCGGCGTGCAAGTATCTGCATATCTCGAAGAATGGATCGAAAGAGATTTTATGGAAAAGATTGAAGAAAGAGGTTGCGCTGAGCAAAGTGAAAGCGCAAGCCCAAATCTCTGAGGATATCAGAAAG